GGTTGTGAGAAGGGCCTGCCTGAGTGTACCCATGGCCAAGAAAGTTATAGAACTGTTTTATAGTAAAAGTAAGGTGGACAAGCTCTCCACTTAAAAAGAAGCCTTCCAAACTTTATATATGCCTTTTGATAGTAAGTTATAACCTGTTAATTCCTTAATAAATCATGTAACAAATGAGCAGTGGCCATCACAATGAACGATCAAACCCAACACAGAAGCAGACTGTGCAATGAGGAAAGTAGCTAGTGTCAGAAATGGGAAGAAGGTGAAAAATCAAGGTATATCTTACTTCCACCTTCATAAGAACCAGCTTTGTGCTGACCCTGACTTTGATTCTTCAGGAGTCTGAGAAATTCGTTATTCTAAAATACGGTTGGAAATTTCACATTCTGGCTAGAATCATGACCAAACCCCTTTTTATAAGTTCACATGTGATTTCCAACAAATACCAGATGTATGTAAGTCAAGTACTAGTAACCTCATTACTAGCTTTTTAATGAAGTTCTTACTGGCAACCAGTCACAATGATGAAGAAAAAACTGAAAGAAAATGGAATTTTAAAACTACAAGTACAACAACTACTGAAAGGGGTCAAAACTCTGGAATTGGAGACTTAGAAAAGGCATAGTAAGGTTGTACAGAGCCTGATGAAAGATATTAGATTACAGTCAGTACAGTGGAAGGCCCTTCCATTTCTAAGTTGGGCTTCTCTGTTCCCAACTATATGTGTCAAGAGAGAAAAAAGCGAACAAACAAAAAAACAAAAACAAGGCATGCTGCTCTTGTTTTCTAAAAGTGAAACTACATTTGTAGCAGAACATCAACCCACAGTTTTTCCCAATCCAGTTATCATTCTAGTTTACTCATATTTTATAAATTCAAGTCTAACTGAGTGTGGAAACTACAGAACAATACCATTGATTTCACATGCAAGCAAGATTCTACTGAAGATTATCCAAAAACAACTGGAAAAGCACATCAGCAGAGAACTGTCAGAAGTCCAGGCTGGGTTTAGAAGGGGTCGTGGTACTAGGGATATTATAGCTGATGTTAGATGGATCTTAGCTGAAAGCAGAGAATACCAGAAGAATGTCTATGTGTGTTTCATTGATTATGCAAAGGCATTTGACTGCGTGGATCATAACAAACTGTGGCTGACTCTGAGAAGAATGGGAAACCCAGAACATTTAATCGTGCTAATGCGAAACCTATACTTGGACCAAGAGGCAGTCGTCAGAATAGAGCAGGGCAACACTGCATGGTTCAAAATTGGGAAGGGTGTACGTCAGGGATGTGTCCTATCTCCATACCTTTTCAACCTGTATGCAGAGCAGATTATCCGAGAGGCTGGGCTCTATGAGGAGAGGCGTGGCGTTAGGATTGGTGGACGATCTATCAACAATCTGCGTTATGCAGATGACACAACCTTGCTTGCTGAAACTGAGGAGGACCTCATGCACTTACTGCAGAGGGTCAAGGACTGCAGTCTTCAATATGGACTGAGGCTCAATGTTAAGAAGACAAAAATTCTCACCACTGGACCAATCGGTAGCATCAGGATGGATGGCGAAGAGATTGAGATTGTTCACAGCTTCAGTTTGCTCGGCTCCACGGTCAACACTCTTGGCACCAGTAGCCAGGAAATAAAAAAAAAACGTATTGCGATGGGAAAGTCTGTGGTTAGGGGCCTCTCCAAAATACTCAAGAGCAACAGTGTCTCTCAGGAGACTAAGGTGCGCCTGATACAGGCCATGGTTTTTGCAATCACTTGTTATGCATCAGAGAGTTGGACAATGACAAGGGAGGATAGAAGGAGAATTAACGCCTTTGAGCTGTGGTGCTGGAGCAGAGTATTGAATGTACCATGGACTGCCAAGAAAACAAACAGATTCATCGTAGAGAGCATTAAACCAGGCTGCTCCTTGGAGGCAAGGATTCTGGGGCTTCGTCTGACATACTTTGAACATGTTGTAAGGAGAGACAGGTCTTTGGAGAGGGACATCATGCTGGGCAGAGTGGAGGGACAGCGCAGGAGGGGAAGACCCTCTATGAGGTGGATTGATTCAGTGACTGGGGTACTCGGGATGGGTTTGTCAGGGGCAATGAGATTGGCACAGGATAGAGCACGGTTTAGGGCTGTTGTACATAGGGTCGTTATGAGTCACAAACGACTCGACAGCACATAACAACAACAACATTATTATGGTTTTATTTCATAAACCACGACAGAATCAAAATGAAATGGTTCAAAGGCTAGGGTAAAAGAGAACAATGAAATTAGGTGATTTGACTAAGGCCAGTGGAAAAAAAAAAAAGCAGAGTTTGAACCAGAAACCAGACCTGTGGAAATGAAAACCTCTGTTATCCTCTGTAAGATGAGTCATAAAAGAATAAGGGAGCGATCATCTATCTCAACTCCAATGCTCATCATTTCTTTCAGAGTAATAGCTCTGAGAAGCTATTTAGGTCAAGAACATAAACTTTGGGTACAATAATAAGAAAAAAAATTAAGACTTTTAATTAAACCAAATTATTTCTAAGCGTGTATAAATTTGGAAGCTCAGCAATTTACCAGACTTTATTAATTAATGCCATCGTAAAATTAACAGTTTGATTACAAAATACTCATTCCAGGAAAGAGGGGGGAAAAAGCGATTGAAGGATAAAAGATTGGAGTAAGGCCATATGTTGCACTTTGCAATTGTTCTTCAACAAATACAAATCACATTAGAGAAACACTAGATGCCAATATCCAGGCCCAACAAAATATAGCAATCACCCCTAAATTATCCTACTTCTCACCAATACGTCAAAATTTTGGCTCCAAGTGGCATCCACTTTCTAAATAATGTGCCTCCAGAAACTCTATGAATTTTTTTAAATGTTGATGGTTGTTAAAGGGGCTTCAGGTCTTTTGTTCCTGGAGTCACTATGAGTCGTGCTTGACTCGAAGGCAATCAACAATAGCAACAACTCTAATAAAAGCCTTGAAGATAAAGTTCTTCCATGAACCTATGGGTACTTTATGTGAACCAAAAAAAGTTCTTGCTGAGATCTTTTTCTCCCACTTAAACACTTGGTATCATTACTAACAACTTTTAACAAGGAAGTTTTAACATAATTATTTTAAAGTGGCATTTCAAAATGATACTAATTGCCCAGGGTAAAGAATGAGGCATGTTATTGTTGTTACGTGCCATTCAATCCTATGTAACTCATAGTGACCATATTCACATCTTGAGCCAATCTCATAGTCTCCAACATGCCTACCCCTATTAACCTCAGTTACTGTGTCAATCCATCTAATCCAGGGTCTTCCTTTCCTGGACTGTCCCTGCACCATTCCAAGTGTGAAGTGCTTCTCCAATGACTTGTCCTTCCTAGCAACATGCCCAAAGTATGAGATGGAGCTTCAAAATCCTTGCCTCCCTCACCCATGTTTATTGCAGCTTTGTCCAGAATAGCAAAGAGTTGGAAACAACCCAAGTGCCCATCAACAAATGAAAAGATAGAGATGCTGTGGTATACTCATACAATGCAATGCTATGCTGCATTAAAAAACAAGGAACTCATGCAATAGTATTCAAAATGGGTGACCCTGGAGGACATTATGCTGAGTGAAGTAGCTCTGTCACAAAAGGACAAATACTGCATGGTGCCACTGCTGTAAAGCAGGACTGACATCAGAGGAGGGGGAAACTAATAAGAGGGGATAAATAATGTATACTGCATTGAAACAGATGAGGGAGAAAACTGATTAGGAGGAATATATGATTAGGTATTATTGTCATGACAAGAGTCCAGAATGAAAGCTGCATAGTGGAGTGGACTGGGGAAGAGGGACTGTATAACAATGAAATAAATTTTTTTTTCAAAGAGAAAAGCAAACTGGTGGGGAGGGGTGGGCAGAGAGGAAAGTGTGCAACTATGAGTGAATGGAAATCCAAAGTCTCTGTAAACTTTCATTAAAATAAATTTTTTTTTTGTCTCCAAGGAATAATTTGGTTTCACCCTCTTTAAAATTGTTGTTGTTATGTGCCATTGAGTCGCTTGCGACTCATAGTGACCCTATGTACAACAGCCCTAAACCCTGCTCTGTCCTGTGCCAGGAGACCTGTTTATTTTCTTGGCAGTCCATAGTGTATGTTCAATACTTTTCTCCAGCACAACTCAGAGACATCAATTCTTCTTCTATCATGCTTAGTCATTATCTCCAATGCACAGCAAATAATTGTGAAGACTACAGCCTGGATCAGGGGAATCTTAGTCTTTAGACTGACCTCGCTCCTCTCTTCAGCACTCTGGCAATGTCTGTCCTATCTCAACCGTCTTCATTTTTAAAGTGTAAAGCAAATTAAAATACTATACTACTGAGAATAATAAGGTTGACTTAAGATTGAAGAGATTAATACATAGTTGTTTCCTATAGGTTTGTTTTTGTGGCTGTGTTTTGGTTTTTTTTAATGGTACCATCAGACTTCAGGTGAAAATGGAAACTGGAACAATCTTTCTAGAGCACATGGGGTAATAAACACCTAAAGATTTTAAAATAAACATATGTTGTAATGTCATGTGCCATCGAGTTGACGACAACTCATACTTGACCCTATGCACAACAGCTCTGAATCTTGCTCTATCCTGGGTCAACTTCACTGTCTCTAACACATCTACCCTCATTATCCCAGTTATTGTGTCAAACCATCTCATTCGGGATCTTCCTTTCCTGCATTGATTGATGGTGGTTCAACGGCCAAATTCTCCTTTTCCATGTAGGACACCTAGGTTGACGTTCTGGTCTATAAGGGGAGCTTTGCAAATTTCTATGATGCTTTAAAAGCAGAGCTTCAAAACCCAACTAAACAGAAGCCCTGGAAATCTACTTCTGAAAAATCACGTTATGAAAACCTTATGGATCAGTTGATAGCTGAATGGGGACAGTGAGGACAGACGAGACCACAAAGGAGCAGAACTGAGGTTAGGTGATCTGGAGAGTGGGCATCATGACAAAGCTGGTTTCGTGGATATGCAGTCTGGTGCTCCTGGGGTCCACTTGGGCCGCCTTGATCATGGGCCTTACCTTGGGCCTGGAGCTACACTTCACCTGCCAGGAGGTCCTGTGGCCACTGTCCGCCTATTTGATTGTGACTACTGGCTGCTTTGCCCTGGGCACTGTGGGTTTTCACGTGGCCACTTTCCATGACTATGAGGACAAGGCTCTGGAGCTGCAGACTCAGATCCAGGAGGCCCCAGTTGATTTAGTCCGCAGGGGCTTGCGTTTCTAACATTCTCCCCAATCCCTGCCCAGGTAGCACTCTCTCTCCCATTAAAGAACAAGCTTATTTTTTATGTGGTCTGTATGCATGTGGAGTATGAGGATTAGGGATGTGTACTAGCAGTGGAGAAGTGAGAGGTTCCAGTTCCCTGAGGTCACATCAGCCTTCATCTGTACCTCCTGCTGGCATTCTCCTGTTTTGGACTGAAAGAGGCAAAGGCCTCTTCTCAAGGTCTCTCAGAATGAAAGTCATTCCACTTTCTTGGTCCTTTTAACATGCCAGGAAATACTCCATACTTATTCTTTAATAAAATCCAATCCCCATTAAAATGAAAAAAAAAAAGAAAGAAAATCTTCTGGATCCTAAAAGCTTTGATCTCCTTCCTACTGATCAGAAGGATGGTACAAGACCTTATAGCATTTGGCTTCATTATGTATGAAGTTATCATTAAATCAGAGGCTGACTCAAACAGCAGCCAAAAACAAGTTTGGGACTTATGAAGGCCTAGTAGGTAAGGAGTTGTGCTGTCAATCCAAAAACATGTGGTTCAAATCCACCAGCTAATCTAACATGGGCAATATCCTCTGTGCAATTTATAGCCTCTGAAAAAACTGCTCAAGCTATGAGTCAGTTCCAAATCAATCTCAAAGAGCTCCATGGCTTTTTGACAATAAAGTTTTTTACTAAATACAAAGGTACTGAATCAATGAAGTGATTAAATTGCTTTGGATAAGGCAAGGACTGTTGTACAGAAATGTGTTAGGTGGACTTTAAATACCATAATTCAGTAGTACCTCAGAGAGGGAAACGTAAACAGGAAATGGCAGAAATGGCATTCTAGAAAAAGGGAAGAGTTGTTAAAGGCTCAAAGGCAGAAGAGTATCACATACTAAAAAACTACAAGGGATTTATCTGAGTGAGAATAAAAGGAAGCAGTAAGGTGTAAGACTGGAAGAGTGGCTAGAGTATATATAAAAAGGTTTGGGTCCAGAGAAAACAGTACCTTAAAACATAGTACAATGCAAGCAACAAATGCTGGCGAGGATGTGGAGAAACTGGAACTCTTATTCACTGTTGGTGGGAATGTAAGATGGTGCAACCATTGTGGAAGGCGGTGTGGCACTTTCTAAAAAAATTGCAAATAGAGATACCATTTGACCCAGCAATCCCATTAATGGGAATATACCCCAGAGAGACCATGTCTGCCATCCAAGCAGATATATGCACACCCATGTTTATTGCAGCTTTGTTTACAATAGCAAAGAGCTGGAAGCAGCCTCAAGGCCCATCAACAAATGAATGGATAGAGAAGCTGTGGTGTATTCACACAATGGAATACTTCGCAGCACTGAAAAACAAGGAACTCATGCAATATTATTCAAAGTGGGTGACCCTGGAGGACATTATGCTGAGTGAAATATCTCAGTCACAAAGGGACAAATACTGCATGGTGCCACTTTTGTAGAATGGTTCTGACATCAGGGTGGGGGTATGACAGAAAAAACTGGATAAATTATGTATATTGTATTGAAACAGATGAGGGAAAGAACAGATTAGAAGTGATATATGATTATTATGGTTAGCACAGGAATCCAGAATTAAGGTTGTATAGAGAAGTGTACTTGGGGTGGGGGGTGGGGGGAAGGGACATGGGAATTGTATACTAATGAAGGAATTTTTTTCTTTTTTTTTCTCTCTCTCTTTGGAGGGGGAAGCGAGCTGGTGAGGAGGGGTGGGCAGGGAAAAAATTGCGGCAATGAATGAATGAATGGAAATCCAAAACCTCTGTAAAAAAAATAATAATAATAAAATTTAAAAAATTTTTAAAAAAACATAGTATAATGGTAGAGATACCAATTCTATTCTTCAACAAGATGGTAAAGGCAGTTTTATCTGGAATGAAGAGATATCGAATAAACAAAACACTACTGAAGAGAAACACGGTAGGAGGGGTAGGAGGAATCACACTTCCAAGATCTCAAATATCAAACAGCCGTGGTGGTCAAGACAGCATGGTGCTGATACAACAAAAGACACATACACAGATCAATGGAGTAGAATTGTTGTTGTTAGGTGCTATCAACTCACAGCAATCTCATTTACAAAAGATTTGAACCCTGCTCTAGTCTATGCAATCCTCACACTTTCCGACACACAAGAGCCCTTTGCAGCAGTCATTACGTCAATCCACCTGGTTGAGGGTCTTCCACTCCACTGACCCTCCACCCTTCCAAGCATCGTGTCCTTCTCCAAGCAACAGCACCTCCCAGCAACATGCCCAAAGTATGTGAAGCAAAGCCTCAAGATTCTTGCCTTTAAAGAGCACTCTGGTTTCACCCTCTCCAAGACATATCTGTTCTCTTGGCCGTCCATGGGATGTTCAGTTCTCTTCTCCCACACCATAGCTCAAAGGCATCCATTCTTCTCCTGTCATCCTTATTCACTGTTCAGCTCTCAGATACATCAGAAAGACATGGCCTGAATCAGACACATCTTTGTCCTTAAACTGACATTACTGTTCCCCAATAATTTGGAGAGGTCCCTAACTGCAGGTTTTCCCAGTGCAATGTGTCTCTTTATATCTTGACTGCTGGTACCACGAGTGTGGTTAATTGTGGATCCAAACAAGATGAAGCTGTTGACAGTTTTAATCTCCTCTCCATTCATTATGATGTTGCCTATTGGTCCAGTGGAGGCATTCCTTGATCTTCTGCAACAAGTGCTTCAAGTCCTCCTCACATGCAACAAACAAGGTTGTGTCATCTTCATAATGTGGGTTATTGATGAGTGCCCCTCCAAATCTGATACCACACTCTCCTCACAGAGTCCAGCTTCTCAGATAATTTGCTCAGCATACAGAATGAATAGTATGGAAGAGAATACAACTTTGAAGCACTCCCTTCCCAATTCCTTGGATTCACTCACCAGTCTATGCCAGGAAATTTGGAGGACAGCTGTCTGGCCAGTGTATTGGAAGAGGTCCATATTTGTTCTCATTCTCAAGAAAGGTGATCCAACTGAATGTGGAAACTACCAAACATATCACTGATATCACATGCAAGCAAAATATTGCTGAAGATCATTCAAAAATGGCTAGGACAGTACATAGATAGGGAACGGCCAGAAGTTTAAGCAGGATTTAGAAGAAGCCATGGAACCAGGGATATCATTGCTGATGTTAGATGGATCCTGGCTGAACGTAAGAAATACAAGAATGTCTATCTATGCTTTATTGACTATGCAAAAAGGCATTTGACTGTGTGGATAAAAGCAAGTTGTGGTTAACATTGAGAAGAATGGGAATCCCAACGCACTTGAATGTGCTCATGTGGAACCTATACCTGGACCAGGAGACTACTGAGCAAATGGAACAGGGGAGCACTGTCTGGTTTGAAGTAGAATTAAGAACCCAGAAATCACCTCATCTACCCATAGTCAACTGATCTTTGACAAGCAGACAAAATCAGTTAAGTGGGGAAAGGGCAGTTATCTTTAACAAATAGTTTTGGCAAAATCAGAAAACCATGTTAAGAAAACTTAAGCAAGATCCATACCTCATATCTTACTCAAAACCAACTCAAGGTAGATCAGGGACCTAGAAGTAAAAACAAAGACTATAAAATTCATCAAAGAAAAGCTAGAAAGAACACTAGAAGCTCAAATCCACAGAATGAAGTCTTCTGCTACTCATAGCAACCCTGTGTAAAACAACAATAAACGCCGCTCCTGTCCATAAACCCTATCCTGTGCCAATCTTATTGTCTCCGATACACCTATCCCCATTATCCCAGTCACTGAATCAATCCATCTCATGGAGGGTCTTCCACTCTTGTGCTGTCCCTCTATCCTCCCAAGCTTGACATCCCTCATCAAGGACTGATCCTACCTTGCTACATGTCCAAAGTATGTCAGACAAAGCCTCAGAATCCTTGCCGCCAAGGAGCAGCCTGCCTTCACCCTCTCCAGGCTGAACCTGTTCATTTTCTTAGCTGTCCATGGTAAATTCAATATTCATCTCCAACACCACAGCTCAAAGGCATCAATTCTCATTCTATCCTCCCTACTCGTTGTCCAGTTTTCTGAGTCATAGCAATTAACTGCAAAGACCAGGGCCTATACCAGGCGCACTTTAGTCTCCAGATTGACAGCACTGCTCTTCAGTACTTTGGGAGAGGTCTCTGATAGCAGACTTTCCCAATGCAATTAGTCTTTTAAGTTGCTGGCGGCTGGTACCAAGAATGTTGATTGTAGAGGAGAGAATAAAATAGATGAATGGGACCTTCTAAGAATCAAATCTCTACGCACATTTAAAACTTTCTCAAACAGGGTAAGATGGAAACCCACAGAATGTAAAAAAATATTTGGCAATGATATATCTGAAAAGGGACTTATATTTAGAATTTATAGAATATTCCAGTACCTCAACAAAAAAGAAATTAAATAAACCAATCAAAATATGGGCACTGGATATGAATAGACACTTCAACAAAGAATTAATTTGAATGGCAAACACATATATGAAGAAAGGTTAAAAATCCGTAGCTGTCAAAGAAATACAAACCAAAACAACTATGAGTTAACATCTCACCTCAGCAACAATAGCAAAGTTCAACAGGCCAGCAAACAACAAATGCTGGTGAGGTTGTTGAGAGGCTGGAACTCTTATTCACTGCTGGTGGAAATGTAAAATGGTACAGCCACTATGACAAGTGGTCTAGTGCTTTCTCAGAAAGTTGGAAATAGAAATATCATTTGACCCAGCAATTCCACTACTAGAAATAAACCCTAAAGAAAGCAGAGCTGTCACTCAAACAGATATATGCTGGTGGGAATGTGAAATGACCCTAAAGAAATCTGAGCCATGACTCAAACAGATGTATGCACACCCATGTTTACTGCTGCATTATTCACAATAGCAAAAAGAAGCAACCCAAGTGTCCATCAACAAATAGATAGGAAACCCATGCTACATTCATACAATGGAATATTACACAGCACTAAAAACCAAT